CACACCTGCAGGACAAGAAGTAAAAATGGTGCAGTACGCGGACGACCTGAATATTGTGGCGGCCGATAGCAACAGCGTTGACTGTGCCTTAGAGTGCCTTAAAAAATATGAAGAGGCGGCAGGGGCAAAGGTCAACAAATAAATCAGAAATCATGTTCTGCGGGAAGCAGAGCATGGTTAAAAACAGGTGGGGATTTAGGGAGGTAACGGGAGAGAAACAAGTTCTGGGAGTGTACATTGGGAAGGATAGGGACAGAGCGAGGGATAGGACGTGGGAGGAGGTTATACAGAAGGTAAAAAATAAACTTAATCTGTGGAGAACGAGGGGACTGAATTTGAGAGGAAAGGTAGTTGTATCTAATGCTCTAATACTGTCCAAAATTAACCATGTTTTGGGAAACTGTGAGCTGCCAATTTGGGCACTAAATTCGCTGAACAGCACCATCTCCTCCTTTCTTTGGAGGAGTAAGGGAAACTCGATTGCTCACAGAGTGTTAATTGCTAAGAAAAGGGAGGGGGGCTTAGGTTTGATTGACATAAGTGCCAAAAGAGACGCACTGAGGCTAAAATCAGTTAGCAGATTTTTGGATTCGACCCGGCAGTCCCCCTGGAAGGACTCGCTGGCGGGCCACCTGTCTGAGTACGGTGAGAGGAGTGTGTACAATCTCTGTGTCTCCTCTCCCAGAAAAGACTATAGTGGTCTGCCGGGGTTCTACCAGGAGGTACTAGAGGCATGGGGCAAGATTCTGCCCCACCTCAGGCCAGAGTGCAGCAAAAAAGAACATGTGATGCAGCTACCTTTCCTCTCAAACCCGGCTTTTTTATGGGGGGGAAGGTGCTTGGTGAGCAAGTGTCTGACGGCTGCCGGTCTAACTAAGGTGGGGCAGGTGGTTGGAAGCACCGGGGATTTTGACCTTTTAAAAGTATGTACAGAAATGAAAAACAAAAACATATTATATAGGAGAAATCAGGTGGCCGAGCTGGGCCACAGGTTCCAGCAGAGCTTGTCGCCAGAGTGGCAAGGTCTACTCAGGGGCAACAGTGGTGAGGTGCAGGACGATGCCTTGGGGTTCCTTCTGTGCCTCAAAAACCCATCCGTCAATATAACATCCGTTAAAACCCGAGACTGGTACATCATTTTGGTAGCAAAAATCTTACAAACACCAGCATCCATAAAACATTGGGAGAAACTGTTTCCCACCCGGTCAATTCACACTATCTGGCAAAACATAGACATCCCATTTATAACGTCCAATTCATTTCATTTAGATTTCAAAATCAGGCACAGGAGGATCTTCACGGGTATCGTCCTGCACCAAATCGCAAAACATTTGTACAGCAGGACTTGCTCGGTGTGTGGCGAAGTGGAGAAGGACCTGGAACATCTCTTCCTCCACTGCAGCGCCCACACCGGGCTGTGGGAGGAGGTCCGAGATCTTTTGGGGCTACACTGCAAATTTACAATGCTCACAGAAGAGCAATGGCAGTGGGCCCGGCTGTTTGGACTGAACAAAAAAAATAACACTTATAACAAAAACTTCATTAACATGGTCCTCGCCTTTGCGAGGCAAGCAGTGTGGAAAACAAGGAATTGTGCTCTGTATGACCAAAAGGTCATCAACAGTCAAACACTGTTTACCAACAGCCTCAAAGCGCACCTGAGGCTATTGCATAGCGACAAAAAGGAATGGACTAAGAGTGCTCTGAACTTAAGACATTCCATGTTCAAGGAGCATGAGGAGGGCGGGGAGCGCTCGTTGGACTTTGGTTTTTGAAAAAGTGTGAAAATAATTGTCTCAACTTGATGCATTTGTTCATTGCTGTTTAGTGTGTCTTATTTTATTTGTTCATTTCATTAATTTATTTCATTTTAGTTGGATCTTTTGATTTGGTTTATTTAACTTGCTTTTTTCGTTTGTTTATTTCATTTCTTTCTTTCTTTCTTTCTTTCTTTATTTTGTTTGTTTGTTTATTTCATTAGCTCTGGGTCTCTGATCTAGTTCATTTGTTTATTTTATTTATTTATTTCTTTTGTTGGTGGCACTTTGTGAGGGGTGCGCGCTGTTGGGCATTGGTTGGGCATGGGTGGATGCTGGGTTCCTCATTTGTGGCGCGTGGGTGCACATTGGTGTGTGGTTTGTGGACGCGGTTGGGGATGTTTTGTTCGTCGTTGGTGGGTGCATTGGTTGTGGATTGGTGAAGGCTGGATTCATCGTTTGTGGGGCATGGTTCTGCTGTGGGTGGTTGTTGCTATGTGGTTTGTGATCGCGGTTGTGGATGTTTTGCTCTTCATTGTGCTGTGCGTTTCTGCGTGCGCTTGCGCGTCCACTGTTCCGGTGTGTATTGATGATTGGTGGCAGTGTTGGCGGGTGTTCTGTGGGGCTCGCGGTGGGTTCGTTTTCTAGAGATGGCCTGTGGACGGTTGTTGGTGCGGATTTTCATGGTTGTGGGGCGCTTGCTGCTCGTTGGTTGGGTGTTTTGCGCGGGCTTGTCTGGGGTGGGTGCTATCTGTGGCTTGTTGGGCGTTTGCGGGTGGGGTGTGGGGGCTGGCGGTGCCTCGGGGCTCGCAGGGTTTTCGGTTGCCTTGACGGACGGGGGAGGGGGCGGCGCGGAGGGATGTGGAGCATGTTGTGTTGGTGTTTGTTGCGGCTTCCCGGTGTGTTGTGTGTGGACGGACGGGGGTGGTTTGTGGGGACGTGCTGTTGTTGTGGTCTTGTCTGTTTGGGGTGTGTGCGTTGGGCTGGCGGTCCCGCTCTCGGCGGTCGGCGGCGGCTCTGGTGGTGGGTGTGTGTCTTTGTTTGGTGGTGTGCATTGTAGTTGGAGGCTAGCGTTGGCTTGTTACTTGACACTGGCGGCTGGCATTGCTGGGGTTGCCGGCCCGCCCGCGGTGGCTAGGCCGACCTAGTCTAGTCTCGCTTAGCCGGGTGAGGTGAGTGCGTATCAGCGGCGGGTCGGCTTGGCCGCTGCGGGTGGGTCGGTGACTTTGGTCGGTAAAGTTAGTCGGGGAGCGAGGGCAAACACCTGCAGCTGCTGGTGGGCGGGCTGACGTTGGCTTTCGGCTGTGAGGTGTGCTGCCGGGCGGGGGCGCGTGTTCGCCGCCGGTGCCTCTGGCGGCCGCCTGCTCCGGTGTGCTTCTCTGTGCTCCCCTTGGTTGCGCTGTCGGGGGCTTCTGGGGGTTTGGCGTGGATGTGGCGTGGCGTCCTGCCTCCCGCTCTCGGCGCGTTGGTGGCGTGCTGGGAGCGGGATTGCTGGCTCGGCGTGCGCGTCCTGGGCGGATGGCTTCGCGGCGGTGGCGTGTCTTCGTGGACCGCCCTCGTTCGTCTTCATGCGGTGTGTTGGGGGGTTGCGGTGAATGTCGGTGCGGTGTGTTCTATGTCCCTTTGTGTTGTGTCTCTTCTTGGTCTGTTGGGATGGCCGGGCATTTTGTGGGTCTCGGGGCATTGTCGGCCTCTGTATCTCATTTGTGGATGCTTGGTGGGCCATGGGTGGTGCTCGCTTTGGATGGGCTCGCGCGGGGTGCTTGATTGACGGGTGGTGGGTGCTTTGTGGCTGTGGGTTCCTGCATTGGTGGCTGTTTGTGGGCCGTCATTGGGGGTTGAATTTGTTGTGGGTTTTGTGGGGCATCTGCTGACGCAGTCACTGGTCGTTGGTGCGTTCTGGATGGTGGATATGCGAGTGCGTGCGGAGATGTGCAGTGCGGTTGGGAGTGGGACGTTTGTGGCTGTGGTTGTGGGCTGCGTGGTGGTGGCTATTTGCAGCAGAGACATGCTTTGTGGATGATGGGTTCGGTATTTGCTTGTCCATGGATGGTGTGCTTATCGGTGATGGATGGAGCATTTTTGGCTGTGTTTGTGGACTACATGCTGGTGTGTATTCGTGCGTTGTGGGTGATGGGTTCGGTGTTTGTTCGTGCTTGACTGGTGCTTGATGGTGTGTACTCATTATAAAGTGTTACCCTTTTTGTTAATTTAATTTGATCTGGGTCTGTTGATCTGGTTCCTTTGGTTTATTTCATTTGTTTTAATGCATTTTTTGCATTTGTTCATTTCTTTTATTTATTTCATGTTAGTTCATGTTCATTCTATATGTGTTGTAAGTGTTTTTTATTTGGATAAACCGGAGGGGGTCACTATTATTTTAAATGACTGAGGGTTACAAAACAGAGTCATGCAACTGCATGGTCTCATTTTATGTTTGTCGGAGCACCTTATTCTTGTCTGTTGTGGTGATACTTTGCTTAAATTGAAATTTGTAAATAAGAAAAATGAGATAACATGTTAAACTGTATTTTTGATAATAAAAGATAAAAAAATTTTTTCAAAAAAACGCGCCCGATCTCGTCCGATCTCGGAAGCTAAGCAGGGTCGAGCCTGGTTAGTACTTGGATGGGAGACCGCCTGGGAATACCAGGTGCTGTAAGCCTTTTCATTTCTCTTAGCAACAGCAGAGGCTGCTGCTTCTTCACTGTACACAGAATGTTGTTCAGATATTTTTTCCACTGTTGTTGTATAATATTTAAGCTTTCCGTCTAGATGGAATTCATTTGATTCTACTATTGTTATTATCATTGTTGTTGTTGTTGTTGTTGTTATCACTTGTCCACTGCAGGATAATATCTAAACTTCATTCATGAGGACATGTTGAATTTTTCTCCTGCACACCCTGTTAAGGAATTGATTTCGTGGGACCTGATTTTGGGAGAGTTCAAGTCAGTAAATGCATGAATTAATACAGAACTAAGTTGGTCATCAAATCGTAAGTACATAAATAAACGTCTTGAATGGACTCTAATCCCACAGACAAACAGAACATGGTGTACCAACGTCTTTAAAAGGTCCATTTGCAGGTGAAGCTCTCGCTTACGGCCATACCACCCTGAACGCGCCCGATCTCGTCCGGTCTCGGAAGCTAAGAGGAGTGCCATACAGCATTCACTGCACTCCAGAGAGCCCTTGTGGAAGCCCCGGTCCTGTCCCCACCTGACCCCGCTCTGTCATCCTCGACACAGACGCCAGCAACGTCAGCTCAGGGGCTGTGCTGGCTCAGACAACGCCTGGGGGAGAGAGAGTAGTGGCATACTACAGCAGGACACTCAACAAGGCAGAACGTCGCTACTGTGTCACCAGAAGAGAGCTGCTCGCCGTGGTCAGTGCCATACGGCATTTTAAGTATTACCTGGGCGGCCTCAACTTCACGGTGAAAGCGGTTCACTCTGCTTTGCAGTGGCTCATGTCTTTCAGAGAACCAGAAGGTCAGCTGGCACGCTGGATCGAAGAGCTACAAGCCTATAACATCACCGTGGTCCACAGGCCAGGGGCCCAGCATGGGAATGCTGACGCACTTTGCCGCCACCCTTGCAGCACTGACTCCTGCCAGTACTGTGAGAAAAGAGAGATACTGGAGAGAGAACAGCTACACCCTGATGTGAGATGTGCAGCTGTGGGTGAGGAGGGGCCGACCACTAGCCAGGGACTGGCAGCTGTGGATGGAGCAGCATGGGCACACGAACAGGGGCGTGATGTAGACATCAGACCGGTGCTTACCTGGGTGGCGGCACAACGTCAACCTCCATGGGAAGATGTTGCCATGTTTTCCCGAGCCACAAAGGGACTCTGGTCGATGTTTGGAGTCCTGCGCCTGTGTGATGGAGTGCTACAGAGGGGGTGGAAGGAGCCAGCCACGGGAGAGACACGGTGGCAGGTGGTGGTGCCAAAGGGCCTGCGGGAGACGGTGCTCCAAGCAGTGCATGGTGCGCCTGGATCTGGTCACTTTGGGGTAGCCAAAACCCTCCGCCGCCTCCGACAGGGGTTCTATTGGGGCCAACATCGGCGAGATGTGGAAGACTATTGTCGCCACTGCACGGAAGGGCCCCACAGAGAGATCTCATGCTCAGCTCCAGCAGTTTCCAACAGGGTGCCCCATGGAAAGGGTGGGAATTGATGTTCTTGGGCCGTTTCCCCGTACAGACAGGGGAAACCGTTACATTCTCACCGCCATGGACTATTTCACCAAGTGGCCAGAGGCTTACAGTCTGCCAGACCAGGAGGCTGAGACCATCGTGGATTGGCTCCCACAAGACCGGCAGGTTCATTCATTCTCTATGGTAGTGCTAAACCACTACGGACGTAATGCGCACTCCAGCCACTGCCGCCTTTGGCACTGTAACCGCCTAAAACTCCGTCTCGCCTCCTCGACTGTGTCAGTGAACAGAGAAGAGGAGAGACGAAGTCGACATCGCCAACTACTCCTGACATTTGGATATATTTTCTTCAAACTAAGGTCAGTAACTTTTGTGACAAAAACGAGATAAAAGATAAGCTTACATGTACTTTGTGTCGGGGAATTTCTGAGTGTTGTAGGTTGAATGACGATGTTTGTACTTTGTCTCTGAGCGGCGCATCACATTCATTTAAATGCATCTTTCTATGCACAGTTTTAGTCAGTTTAGATAAGTTATATTGTCATTTAAACATTGTGCAGGTAGTTAGTATGTAAACGATTTGCCAAATGTACAGTTTAACTGTTCCAGGGTTTATCATAACTAATAATTAAGAGTAATTTACCTTATTCAACCTGTCTGCACTCGTTTTCTTTTGTCTTATATATTTTATAAATGTTTAATTAAGTAATTGTTTTCTTACATTCATTTCTGTTTTAATATCTTATATTATATTATATATATCTTATATAGTTAGTCATTTCAAAATGTTACTCGACATGATTTATTTGATAAAGTTATAAGAAAAGATATTCCTTTATTTGTCCCACAATGGGGAAATTCCAATGTTGCAGCAGCAAAGTGGATAGAGAAAAAACAGTATAAAAAACAGTAAGAGCAGGAAATTAATAAATAAAAGAAAAACACTATGTAGAAGAGAAAAAACAGTCAGAATCCACAAACAACAGATAACACAAATAGTAACAGCAGTTGCACATGGGCAATAGATTGCACAGTAATTATTGCACATATATAATAAAATATATATATCAAAAGGTATATATTTAAGCCCATCTGGTGCAGATATTCAGAAAAAAAGTAATTTTTTTCTACATTTTGGATCACTTCAGGAAAGACCACACACTTATAGGCTAAGATAATTTAATTTATCCTGTTTTATTGTTCTCAAAGGTAAAAAAAATCCCCATTAGTATCTAATGTTTAAGAAGATGTACATGTTTAATATATATGTTTTTTTTTTCTCCACATATGTCACAGGCCAGCATGGAAAAACCATTCAGTTTCTTTCCTGGGAGGATGGAAGTTGTTTTTCGCAATGGACCTCGAGGTTACCTGCGTCAGGATCCAACTGATGCAGCTAAGCTCCTCAAGGACAACCCTTCTCTGCAGGACAAGTCTGCACCTCTAAAGGAGGACACAGTGAGACAGAATGCCCTGACTGTGGTCTGTCAGAGAGGAGGGGATGCCTCAGACAACACAGAGGTGCTGGGGGATTACATTTTGCAGTTTGGCAAATATAAGGGCAAATCCTTCGGGTGGCTGTTACAGAATGACGTAGGCTATACAGTCTACCTCATTAAGCACACCCAGAAGGAAGAGGCTGCCGGAGTGCACACGACTGAGGGGCACAGCGAGGCCAGCATGGCATCTTTTGTGGGTTATGCCCGGAGCTTTGGTGAAATACAATCTCTCCTGGCTTACGAACTGGGAAACCAACCCCCGATGCCGTTGGCTCTCAACCGAAGAGCACCTGGGGGGGGGGGGGGGAAAGGGGGGCGGCCGCCCCCCCCCCCTTCTTCTTAAAAAAAAATTTTTTTCCGGGAAACAAAAAAAAAAAACAAAAAAAAAACTTTTAAAAAAAAAAAAACCCTTTTCCCCCCCTTCCCCCTTTTCAACCCCTTAAAAAACCCCAAAAATTTTTTTTTTTTTTTTTTTTTTTTTTTTTTTTTTTTATTAAAAAAAAAAAAAAAATATTTTAATTTAATAATAAAAAAAAAAAAAAATATTTTTTTTTTTAATTTTAAAATTTTAATTTTTTTTTTTTATTTTTAATTAAGAATAAGAGGAAGAAAAGAGGAAAAAAAAAAAAAAAAAAAAAAAAAAAAAAAAATGTAAGTAGTTTCTACTTATGAACTTGGGAAAATTTCCCAAACAGTGTTCTCAAACGTGACATTTGCTGTACTGTTTAATCTTTTTGTGTGTTTGCAGCTGCTGCCACGTCATTTGCCGTACCAGGACGGGCCTCGGGAGTGAAAACAGGTTTTGTAGAAGCAGTTTTGTAGAAGTTCACACATGCTGGATTGAGCCACAATGAATTGCTCTCCAAAATGGAAACATGAATTAAACCGTTCTCTTCTGTGTGTTCTGTGTTCTGGCCATGTTCCGGCCATGTTCCACTAATGTGTTTGCATGACGTTCCTACTAACCAACAGGGTTCATGAATTGATTTCCTCAGCGATGAGGGTAAGTACCCATTTTTTTCTTCTTGCATGGGCAAAACATATTGCTTCGCCTGCTTGGACTAATAAAGGTCAAAGAATAGTATTGTGATTGAGCATCAATCCATGTAAAAGTATCTTTTATTTGTAAAAGTTATATCATGACAAAGCAGGTATAGACCTTACTCCTTCTTAAAGTCATGGCTGTACAACAATTGTAATAAATATGAAAATAAAGTAAATAAATAATGCAATACAAAGTAAATTCAGATGCAGGTAGTCCAGCAAGAGGCCTGTAATGTCCTTCAGGTGGACCGGTCTTCAAATGACTACAGATATTGACAGGCCAGAGGGATTTTTGGGGACCAGGATGATGTTGTAGTGTTTGAAACAGGCGGGGACAGCTCCCAGTTATCTGTTGAAGATCTGTGGGAAGATTAAGGCAGGATGGTGACACTCCACATGTGGTCCTGGTGCCTTCCTGATCTTCTGTCTTTGAAAAGGGGGCAATTAAGCATCATGAGACACACCCACAGCGTATAAAAATAAATTAGCAAATGAAGTGTAAATATTATGACATCTCACTAATCTGCTTTATCTTTCTTCATCCTTGTTCCCTCAGTTGTGCCTTCTGCAGTCGCTCCTCCACCGACACCTAGAACAGCCCCTCATACATCTGAGACACCACACAGTAAGAGCTTTTTATAAATACTCTGAAGATTTTACCCCGGCCATCATATTTTTTAATGTAATGTACAATCTATGATGATGATAAAATGTGTAGAAATGAATGCATCTCACCAAGACATTTTTCCCCCCATCCTTGTTCCCTCAGTTGTGCCTTCTGCAGTTGTTCCTCCACAGACACCCAGACCAGCCCCTCGTACACCTGACACACCACACAGTAAGGGTTTTTTATGAATACTCTGAAGATGTAACTGTGGCCAAAATATTTTTTTAAATTCATTACACCATCTGTGATAAGAAAATGTGTAAAAATAACACTAATTGTTTTGTTTGTCATCCTTGTTCTCACAGCTGTTGCCTCTGCTTTTGTTACTCCGCCGCCACGACCAGACCAGGATATCAGCAGTTGGACCTGTTCTTATCCCCAGAAAGTGTGGATGAGGACAGAGCTCAAATCCCTAAGACTGTGGCCTGGGTCCCACCATATGCTCAAGCCAGGAAATGCTCTTTCATTATGGCGTCTCCCTCCACAGCCAGAGCTCATTGACACTGTGTCGGTGCTCCCATCCCGCAATTTCTTTCAGCTACATCCTTTTTTTATTTGGAAACCAGAGAGTGACATCATGGTGAGATTGAGAAACAATTACATACTCCCGTGTCTTCATGGCTGTCCAAAGCCAGATGTAGTCTCGGCTGGTGTGGGTAGGCCTCGAGTGATTGTTGGTACCAGTGGACAGTACTACGTCTTTGCTTCACGCCTTCGGTGCAGGACGTGCAAGAGAATCTGGTTTGCTGATAGTCCTCGGTGGCTGGATATACTACCGAAGCGCTTCACAAACATTCTGCCAGCATTCTTGACCTACAAAAAGGCCATTTGTAAGTCTGTGCTCCATGAGCTGAGGCGCAGTGGCAAGTCACCCTCAGACATGGCAAACCAGGTGAATGAGCTGATGCACCTGAAATATGAACAGTCTCACCTGGCATACCTGCACAGCATACAGAACGTCTGGGATGCTGAGGCTGGGGTTTACGGGCAGAAGACTCTTGGTCAGCTTGTGCAAAAGGATGACACGCCACAGCCTTTTGGAGCATATGATGAAGTAGATGGGTGGTGTGGAGTCTCTGTCTCAGCGCACTACCTGACTGACTGTCTCATCAACGAGTACCGGCACCAAGAGCCAGCCATCATCAAGCTCTTGCAGGGCACTTTTGGACAGGTCTTGCGGTCTGACCACACCAGGAAGGTGGCACGAAAAGTGACCTTGTCATCTGACACCATGTCAAGTTACGCGGTCATGAATGAGAACTGGATGGTTGCCTCCTGGGTGATGGTGCAGTCTGAGATGGAGAAGTCCCTCGAACCCATGTACCAGGGGTTAGCCAGGAGGTACAACAATGCAGGGGTGGAGAAGGCCAATTATCACTGGGTAGACAGGTGAGAAATGTCTCCATGTCCTTTCACTGTCACTCACAAAACACATAATATTTCTGTCCTCTCTCCAAATGTAATTTTTGAAATTCTAAGCAGTTTCTCCTCCTTGTGTTCAGAGTTTGTTGCGCGGCTTTCAGAATCCCAGACCTTCACCACGGGGAGCACTTCAACTGGGATGCCTGGAGGACCACACCATCAATTGTCACTGAGGCCACTGCTGGGACCCTGGAAAATGCCTGTGCATCCCGCACACATTACAACTCCAACATTGTGGTCAAGTTGGATTTGTTCCACAGCATGAGGCGTTTCACACGGGAGTGCACCTCAGAGCATCATCCCCTTTTCAGCACCTTCTGCCAGCTCCTCTCTGCTGCCTTTTCTGTTGTGGATCAGGAGGACCTGCAGAAGCTCAAGGATGCCTACCAGTTCTGTGGAATTCAGCCACCAACTCCCACAAAGCTGCACATCAGAGAGCACTGTAGGATCAGAATTCCACAGTCAACAGAATTGGTCGACAGAGTGGAGAAGGTTCTTCAGCATTTTCACCTGACCACAGACCCCAATAACGTCCCTCTCTACAAACCATCAACGCTGAAGACGTGGCGGATCCAGAGGGTGCACATTCTCCGTGGGTGCCTCAGTGACCCTGTGGTGACAGAGGGAATCATGTACAGATATGGGGGAACTCCGCAGCTTAACCATGTCCCTGGTGAAGGTGCAAAAGTCCCCATCTGGATTCCAGTAAGAGGAACCTCACAGCAGGAGGGGTATCATTTCCACCAGTCCCAGTGGATTACTGGAACTCATGTGTCCTGTGAATTGTTCCAGGCCCAGGGCATGACGGGGGTGGCCCGATGGAACTACAAAAGGCTTCTGGACCTTAAGCGGCCAGATGTAATCCTCCCACCTGTGTTTGATCCATTACTGATCACTGAGCTAAACTCTGCTTCAAAGAGAGTGACTGGCAAGGACAAGTACCCTATACTTCACCTCTCCGAGAGGGACACCGAGGAGAGGTTTGGCCTTGAATACGTAGAACCAGAGTGTCGTCCAGTTCCACTTGACTGGAACAAACACAGGTCGCAAAAGAAAGAGGAGTCTTCCATTCCCGTGCCTCTCCCCCCTGGTCCAACACCATCGACAAACACAGCCCCACCCAATGCTGTGCCCATGCCCCAGCCACCCCAAGTTACACAGTTACCAAGTCCTGTCTGTGTACAGCCAGGACATATTGACAAGGCTGGATGACATCAAGGCCAAGCTGACATCCACGCTTGGCACCATCTTAAAGATGGATTCAACCAAGAAGGTTTGAAGATATTATTTACTTTAAAATAGGCTACACGCATTAACTACTTCCAGTCAGTATTTCAGTATTTCTGTATCACATTCAGACTGGCTCTATACATTTTGTGTGCTTCAGATCACTAAGAAGCTTGCCGGGACAGCCAAGGGGACAGCACTCTGGCTCACCTCCGTGGGCAATGAGTATGGGCAGATACTCATGAGTGTGCTGACCGCTCAGGAGGGAGCTGGACTGGACCCGATGGCAGCTGACCTGGTGAGGAGGTACCAGCAGGCCGGCGTGGATCCCCCTGTTGCCCTTTATGTGGACTGTGGCTGTTGTGCTGCTGCGGCTGAGGAGACCAAGCTGAAGGCCAGATTCAGCGGGTGGCCAGACCTTACCATCGTAAGGCTGGATATCTGGCACTTCATGCGCCGGCTGGCCCTGGGATGCACAACAGATGCACATCAGCTGTACCCACTCTTTATGTCTCTCCTGTCAGCTTGCATTTTTGAGTGGGATGCAGCTGACTTAGCTCTGTTGCGTGAAGCAAAATCCCAGCAGCTTTTGCAGGGCCTGTCAACCTTATGTTGACCGCCATTTGTCGGGAGAATGCCTCAGCGGCGAGGACCCGGGGGAGGACACCATATTAGCTGCTGAGGGGCTATGACTCGGGACCATGGCAAGACTCCTCGTGTTCCTCTGTTATAAGAGAGGATGGCACATTGCGGAGAAGAAAGTATAAGAGGTGGTGTAAAAGAAAGAAAGGCTCTATGTTGTGAGATGCTTGATTTTCATTTAAAAGATTTACCGGTTTGTGCCTGTAGAATGATTCATGTGTTGTCAAGAATATTCTTTAATATTTTATGTATATGTATTGTACTTTGATGAATAGCCTAAACTTCAAGTTACCTGTAAGGCCTGAACCAACCGTGGTGGTGTGCCTGTGACGGACAATTGCTCTGGAGTCGGGACTTGCTTACCTGCGTTACAGTAACTATGAGAGGCTGTTCGCAGTGGCACCAGAGTTCTGCCCCCCCACCCCGTTACCCCGTTAAAAATTTTGGGAAAATTGGTTTTTTTAAAATTTTTTTTTTTATTTTGGTAGAGCCTTTTTCCAAAAAAATTATAAAAAATTATAAAAAAAAAAATTTTATTTTAATTTTATTATAAAAAAAAAAAAATATTTCTCCTTCTCTCCCTCCCCTTTTTTTAATTTATTTTTTTTTTTTTGTTTTTATTATAGGGGTGTATTTTTTTTTCCCGCCGACTGGGCAGCCCCCAAAAGATAAACCCCCAAATTAAAAAATAAAACCCCACCCCCTTTAAAAGAAAAAAATGGGGGAAGATGTGGGGGGAAAAGAGGGTTTTTTTTTCTTCACAAACCCCCCCCCCCCCCTATAAAAAAAACACCCAAAAAAAAAAACCCACCCCCCCCCCCCCCCCCCACCACCCTGGCTCCTGGCACCTCCTCCCTGGCTCCTGGATTCTCCTCTCTGGCCCCAGCCACTGCCACCCTGGGCCCTGGCAGAACCACTCTGGCCCCTGGCACCTCCTCCCTGGCTCCTGGCTTCTCCTCCCTGGCCCCAGCCACTGCCACCCCTGGCCCCTGGCAGAACCACTCTGGCCCCTGGCACCTCCTCCCTGGCTCCTGGCTTCTCCTCCCTGGCCCCAGCCACTGCCACCCTGGCCCCTGGCAGAACCACTCTGGCCCCTGGCACCTCCTCCCCGGCTCCTGGCTTCTCCTCCCTGGCCCCAGCCACTGCCACCCTGGCCCCTGGCAGAACCACTCTGGCCCCTGGCACCCCCTCTCCGCCTTCAAGTTCATTGACTGAGGCCGAAGATGAAACTATGGTAAATAGCTGTATGATCATTTTAAAATATGTATATGTATAAAAAATAAAGTTCTCAGTACTATTTTATTATTGAGTATGTATGCATATCACATATTTTGTTAAATCCACTACATCAGCATAAGTGTCATTAAAGTGTCAGTAAAGGTTTTACATTGCAATTTTCTATTTTCTGTTTAATCATTTTCATAGGCTGTCGATGACCAGAATGTGCCTGGATACCAGCATGTAGACCGGCTTGCTGAGTACTTGGTGGAGCTATGTGGTCAGACCTCACTCTGCCTCAGCAACCAGCAGGTGGACACGATTGTACACCTGTGGGAGAGCCTGGACGAAGGAGACAAGAAGCAGGTGGTTTATGCTGCACGACACCAAGAGAGACTTTTGAGTGGTCGCTTTAGAACACCAAAGAAGCCCTCAAAAACTCCTGGTGTGGAGAGCACCACTCGCTGCATGCTAGGTGCAAGTAGTGCACCTGCCCAGTAGCCAGATTGCTGTCGGGTAGTGGAGAATATTTTTATCAGACTGTGCTATCTGTACCCAAGCCCAGTGAGGAAGGGTAAGGGGGCAGATTCCCGGTGGTCCTTAATTCTCAGGGACTATTGGAAGATCAGGCAGTTGGTGGTTGGCAACTCCCAGGTGATGGAGAGAACTGGACTCCAGCTGGTAGAGGTCAATCAGAACACACTAATACAATGGCACAATAAAAGGCAAAAGAGGCAGGAGCTTTCTGTTCTGGTGCAAGGCATGGCATTACATCCAGCCCTTGCCGTGGCTGAAGAGCCTCTTCAGGAGGCAAGAGTGCTCCCCACTGAGCCCATTCCAGCACGCCAGGAACACCAGTACCAGCTGCCAGAGAACACAGCTGGTCAGGCACAGCAGCGGCAGACACCGCGTCCCTTACTCCCAAAGGGTGCAGCAAAGAGACAGCTGTTTGCCACTCCCTCAGCACCAGCACCCTTGGTCCACCCCAGCACCCCAATCGCGCATGCAGGACAGGCTGTTTTTTTCGTACCTGTAGGGCAGCATGTCAGGGGACTAATCCACAAATAGGTGCTCCAGCAGACACACAGGGAGCTGGTGCTATTCCTAAAAGGCCTTACAGTCGAACGGTGCAAGCCAACACTTGCAAAAAGTGTGGCCAGTTCCGCACTGCTGCGACTGGGCACAGCCATTCCCGTGGCAGGGTTTATTGTCCCAATACGGAAACACTTTCCAAAGAGGACTGGTTGGCGGAAATGAGGAGAAAGTAATGCCACTGTAAATAGGTTTATTGTAAATAGTTTAAAAGGTGTTTTATTATTATTCTGCTCTGTTTTATTATTATTATTATTATTCTGTTCTGTTTTATTATAATTCTGTTCTGTTTTATTATTATTCTGTTCTGTTTTATTATATTATTATTATTATTATTCTGTTCTTTATTATATTATTATTATTATTATTCTGTTCTGTTTTATTATATTATTATTATTCTGTTCTTTATTATATTATTATTATTATTATTATTATGATTCTGTTCTGTTTTATTATATTATTATTATTCTGTTCTGTTTTATTATTATTATTCTGTTCTGTTTTATTATTATTATTATTATTACGTGTGCTGTTCTATTGTTATTCTGCATTCTGTGTTCACTGTAAATAAACAGTATTTCTGATTCTAAAGTGTTTTATAATCTGTTTTGATTACATTTTTAGCTAAACTTTTCCCTTGCTTCCTTTTTGTCCATTAAAAACAACAATAAGTGTAATAATAATGTCATAATGGTGGTGATGTGACATTTGGTAACAGCAAGATGGTTTGTTATTTATTTATTAGGTTCATTTCACCTCATTAATACATTTGATACTTGAAAAGACAAGACATTATAAACCACAAACAGAAAAAGACAAGTAATATTCTATAAAATTATATGGGAAGTGGTTTCTGATATAGAGGAGATGTAGGGAAAGATCCAAGTCATGACATCAGCCTTTGCAGAGGGCATTCCAGTCCTTCAGGTAGGTGGGAGAGGTAGAAAAGAAAATGATAACAAATAATTATTCATTATTTACATTAATAATGTTGCCTATATCACACATTTCACATATTAAATTGTGTCCCAAGCACCCAAAAATACCTTAATCAAGAAGATATGGACACAAAATGATGTATTTAAAAGATTAAATACGAATTTTAACATAATCTGAGCAAACAGAAGGACTTTCTTCATTCAGGAAAAAAAATGCTTGTTTGGTCTCTTGATCTGTCGACGCGCTTAACCTTTGTCCCATCGATATGCATTAGGGTCTTGTACAGCGGGCTTTTTGCAACGGGAAAGAACTATGTGGCGCGAACTACGGCCCTTAGAGCTGAACGCAGCACCTTAGAGCACTCAGCCATCTTGTCCCAAACTTGCACTTGGACTCCTTCTCTTGGGCCACCAAGTCACTCCCAACCCCAAGTGAAGAATCCACTGTTGTCCGGCAGAGAGCCGTGTTCATGAAAAATCACAGAAAATGATCCACAATTATTCCATCAAAAGGTAGGGGTAGCATGTGGAAAGATATCACGGTAACCTTGGATAGGTTGACAGTGTTGACCCTTACAAAAGCAGTTGATAGTGTATTTTGTCATATGAACTGCTGACCTTTCTTTCTAGACATCTGGTCAGAACATCCTTGGAAGAGCTTTCATCGTCGTCAACCTCAACAAGGCAGCACCTTGCTCCCCCGGTTAACTCTTTTACCTGTCACTGGCATTAAATCAAGTTCCACTGAGACTTGAACTCGGATCACTAGATTCAATTTATCCCTTTTTTTCTCCCTTTTTCCTCTTTTCTTCCTTTTCCCCTTCCTTTTCTTCTTCCCCCTTCTTCCCCCTTCTTCCCCCTTCTCCCCCCCCTCAGACGGACGAGTGTTCCCCAGCTTGAACGCAGCGCCTTAGACCGCTCGGCCATCCTGACGCCTTGAGCTGATCTTTTTTGGATCTCGAAGAATCGTCTCGATGGTGCGGGGGTAGAATTTCAACTGAATCTGGGCAAACAGAAGGATTTTCTTCATTCAGGAAGAGGAAAATGCTCGTTTGGTCTCTTGACCGGGCTAAGCGTAGATAACTGGGCTAAGCGTACACTGAGGATTTGGGAAATAGCCCATCCAGTAACCGATAGGAGTGGCGTGTGGAAAAACATCACGGTAACTTTGGATAGGTTGACAACGTAGACAGTGCACTTACAAATAGTGATGCTACTGTATCATATGACAACGTTCTGTTTAGAAGCAGCAGCCTCTGCTGTTTGTTAAGAGAAATGAAAAAGCTTGCAGCACCTGGTATTCCTAGGCAGTCTCCTATCCAAGTACTAAACAGGCCCACCCCGCTTAGCTTCCGAGATCGGGCGTGTTCAGGGTGGTCTGGCCGTAAGCAAGAGCTGCACCTGCAAATGGACCCTTTAAAGACATTGTTACACCATGTTCTGTTATTCTGTCAGATTACCAAGTCACTCCCAACCCCAAGTGAAGAATCCACTGTTGTCCGGCAGAGAGCCGTGTTCATGAAAAATCACAGAAAATGATCCACAATTATTCCAGCAAAAGGTAGGGGTAGCATGTGGAAAGATATCACGGTAACCTTGGATAGGTTGACAGTGTTGACCCTTACAAAAGCAGTTGATAGTGTATTTTGTCATATGAACTGTCATATGGCTGACCTTTCTTTCTAGACATCTG